CACACACACACACACACACACACACACACACACACACACACACACACACACACACACACACACACACACACACAGCCCAAAGAAAATAGTAAGAGCTGGGAATGTGGCTTAGTGGTACAGTGCTTGCCTACTATGCATGAAGCCTGGGGTTCAATTCTTCAGTACAACATACACAGAAAAAGCCAGAGTGGCACTGTGGCTCAAGTGGGAGAGTGCTAGCCTTGAGCAAAAGAAGCTCAGGGACAGTGCCCAGGCCCTGAGGTCAAGCCTCAGGACTATCCAGAAAAAAAATAAGAAAATGGTTAAGATCATTAATGCTAACAAAGTCAAGGCTCCCTCACAATTCAGACAGCATCCATGTACAGTCTAAAACAATGAAGAGGAAAAAAAACAAAAAAGCAAAAGCAATACAAACGAGGCTTCATTTCAGTAAAATTATTAAGAAAAAGAAACACAAAATGGTTTAAAGATGTGTTAGAGAGGGCTGGGAAGATGGCTCCATGGTAGAGTGTTTGCCTAGCATGCATGAAGCCCTGGGTTTGATTGCTCAGCACCACATAAACATAAAAAGCCGGAAGTGGTGCTGTGACTCAAGTGGTAGAACACTATCCTTGAGCAAAAGCAGTTTAGGGACAGTACCCAGGTCCTGAATTCAAGCCCCAGAACAGGCAGAAAAAAAAAATGTTATAGCATGAGAAGGAAAATAAAAAAATAAACAAACAATTACACACCATATGCTAACAAATCTACATTAGGTTGCTGATAAAAGTCAATGACTAGCCACCTGTTGGCTCATGTCTGTAATCCCAGCTACATAGGAGGCTGAGATCCAACAATCATTGTCTGAAGTTTGATGGGGAAGCCAAGACCATGAGACTCTTCTCCAGTTAACCAGCAAAAATGGAGCTCTGGCTCAAGTGACAGAGAGCTAGCCTTGAGCAAAACAGATCAGGGGACAGTGCCATGCCCTGACTAGATCAAGCCAGGACCCACACCCCCCAAAAAAAGTCAAAGATTGAAAACTACTTTTTGAACATACTGTACATGTAACAAATCAGAGATTTAGGAATCACTTAAATGACTTTTGAGTTATTTGGTTCAAGAAGTCTTACTATTAGGGTTCTTATGAATTTTAGAAAAATTTGGCTTATCTAGGAAAATCCATCCAATTGTAATCACCATTCAAATTTTGACCCTTAATGAGGTTTTTCTTTTTTTTTAAGTATTTTTTTTCCATCTCCTTTTTAAAAATACCATGAAATACATACCTTCCTCCTATTGAGTCGTCTTGTGGTTGGGCCCCGGCAGTGTTCCTCTGTGAACGTCGCAGTGACCCCCCTGGATTGTTATTAGGCCGGTTGGACATTGGCACCTCTCTCTTGAAGGGACATACCCTTTCTAGACACTACCATTCACTGAAGAAAAAAAAAGACAAAAACCAAACTAATTAGATATAACACAGGAAAAACATACAGTGCCAAAAATGAGGAAAATATATACACACAATTTAATCTGATAAGATTTCACTGTCTTCTAACATTGCAACTGACTTAGTAATGTGTTATAGAGTGGAATATATTCATTTCATGCGGTCAAGAATCTAGCAAAAATGGGCTGGTAACGTGGCTTAGTAGGAGTGTGCTTGTAGTGCATGCATGAAGCCCTGGGTTTGATTCCTCAGTACCACATAAACAGAAAAGGCCAGAAATGACATTGTGGCTCAAGTGGTAGAATACTAGCTTTAAGCACAAGCTCAGGAGCAGAGCGCTGGTGGCCCATGCCTGTAATCCTAGCTACTTAGGAGGCTGAGATCTGAGAATTGAGGTTCAAAGCCAGTCTGGGCAAGAATGTCCATAAGACTCTTATCTCCAATGAACCACCAGAAAACCAGTGGCACTGTGACTCAAAGTGGTAGAGTGCTCACCTTGAGCTGAAGAGCTGAGGGACAGTACCCAGGCCAAGTTCAAGCCCCATGACTGGCAAAAAATAAAGCAGCTCAGGGACAGTGCCCAGGCCCTGAGTTCAAGGCCTAGGACTGACAACGACAACAACAAAGACCAAGGTCAATCTCACTGACAAAAGCAGATTGGCTACAATGTTCAATCCTCCAATCTTGACATCTAGAGCTTGGAAACTATAGGTATACACCACACTATAGTTTTTTTTTCCTTCAAATTTTCAATGTTATACCACATTGACAGATTGAAAAACTGAGGGGTTTTTTTTTACAGTGAATATTTTACATAAAAGTAAACTAATAACGTAACCCCTGTACTGTCTATAATTTTTAACTTTTGGAACAGTTAAGGTGAATCTTATTTGTTCAATGTGACCTTTCCCTGATGATTTCCTGTGGATGTTGTGTTCTTGATTTCAGATTATGAATTTGTAGTTTAATAATTTGCATAGCACTTGTACTCATTTGCTTATTGTAATAGCATAATTGAAATATATCACTGAGTCCTCTAAAGCTTTGCATTATTCCTATTTTACAAATAAAAAAATTGTAGTGTTAACATCACAAGCCTATATGCAGTTAAGTAATGGCATCTGGACTTGCAGAGTCTGAGCCATAAATTATACCAGGTACTACAGATCTGAACTATTCACACTAAACCAAAACAATGTCTAGGTCTCAGGATAAAGCACAGAAGCTAAACACAAAAAAAATAGTATAAATTAAATTCAACAGAATTCAGTTTTAGCCTCTGGGTACTGAGGGCTTCAACCGAGGTCATCACAGTTAGCACTTTCTAGCTTGAATCATGCATCCAGTTTTGACTCTGTGGAAGGAGAGTGAGTTTGGGTATGGGTTTCAGTCCTTGGGCTTGAACTCAGGGCCTAGGCACTGGTCCTTAAGCTTTTGTGCTCAAAGCTAGTACTCTACTCCCAGCTTTTTAATTAGAGACACAAATCTCTCAGGTTTGTCTTCCAGGGTGGGCTTTAAGCCATGATCCTCAGATCTCAGTCTCCTGAGTAGCTAGGATTATAGATATAAGACTACCACAAGGGGCTGGGGGTTTAGCCCAGCGGAACGATGCCCACCAGGTGCGCACAAGGCCCTGGGTTCGGTCCTCAGCCCTGGGGGGAGGAAAAAAAAAAGGCAACGGAGACTACCACGGAATTAAGCCTATCTTTACATTGAAAAGGCATAACCTTTTAAGTTTCTACTGTAAGGAAGGAATTGAGAGGAACTGAGATAGAAAGGTGATTAAAACAATCCTTGCTCACAGGAGCTTACTGCTCTAGATCACCCTAATTGTATTCAGTATCCTGGATCTGCTAGTTAACCCTACTAAGATCTACAAATTCTTTACATTCAAAAAATAAAATTTAGACAACAATTTTTTGGCTGGGTGCCTGTGGCTCATGCATGTAATTCTAACTACTCAGGAGGATGAGAACTGAGGATCACAGTTCAAAGCAGCCTAGGCAGTAAAGTCTATGAGACTCTTGTCTCTAATAAACTACTCAGAAGTGGCACCTGGGGCTCAAGTAGTAGAGCGCTAGCTTTGGGCACAAACAGACTCAGAGACAGTACTTAGGCCCTCAATTCAAGCTCCAGGATTGGCAAAAATAAAAATAAGTAAAAATCTTATCTTCATCTAAGTTTCTCCATTGAATTATAGGTTATCTACTTTAAGGTTTAAGTATTAAAGACAATGCATAGAAGAACCTTGCCTAAACATGACAGCTGACATTTAGTAAAAGCTTATTTTTTTTCTTCTTCATGGTGCTGGAAATAAAACCTACGGCCTCAAGCATGCTAAACATGTACTCTACCACTAAGCTACAATACTTGCATCAATGTACATTAAGTATAATTAAATAACAATCTGAAAGAGGAAAGTAGTCATCAGATTCCCCTTGATGAATAACCAACTGGAAAGGAATAATGACCAAAGAAACCATAAAACTATGTGGACCAGCTGAGGAGACCCACATCAGAAGGATTATGTTTCAAGGTCAGCCAGAGCAAATAGTGAGACCCCATCTCAACCAATAAGCTGGGTATGGCAGTATGCATCTGTGATCCCAGCTACTCCAGAAGTAGGAAGATTGCCAGTATCCAGCAAAAGTAAAACTTGTCAGTTGTGGGGCTTGAACTCAGGACCTGAGCACTGTCCCTCAGCTCTTCAGTTCAAGGCTAGAGCTCTACCACTAGAGCCACAGCGCCACTTCTGGTTTTCTGAGTGGTTTATTGGAGTAAGAGTCTCCAGGCCTTTCCTGCCCCTGGGCTGGCTTTGAACTATGATCCTCAGATCTCAGCCTCCTGATTTAGGATTACAGACATGACCCACCAGTGCCCGGCTAACCTAAATAATTTTTAAAACTTAAAAAGCCACAGAGAGGCTGGGAAGGTGGTTCAGTGGTAGAGTGCTTGCCTTGCATACTAGAGGCCCTGTGTTTGATTCCTCAGTACCACATAAGCAGAAAAGGCCAGAAGTGGTGCTGTGGCTCAAGTGGTAGAGCACTAGCCTTGAGCTGAAGAGGTGCCCAGGCCCAGAGTTCAGGCCCCACTACTGACAAAAAAAAAAAAAGCCACAAGAGTCAGGCACTGTTGGTTCACACCTAACTACACAGGAGGCTGAGATCTGAGAATCAAAGTTTGAAACTAGCCCAGGCAGGAAAGTATCCAATACCCAGTTAAGACTCCAAGATCTGAGAATCAAAGTTTGAAACTAGCCCAGGCAGGAAAGTATCCAATACCCAGTTAAGACTCCAATTAACCACCTGAAACAGTAAGTGGAGCTGTGGCTCAAAGTGGTAGAGAACTAGCCTTAAACAAAAAAGTTGAGGAACAGTGTCCAGGTCCTGAGTTCAAGCCCCATGATGGACCCTCCCCCATACCCCTCCCCCAACACATGCACACAAAAAACCCCAAGATACTACCTAAAAAAATAATGTAAAGGCTGGGTGTCAGTGGTTCATTAATGAAGAGACAAGGCAAAGGGTAAAAAGCCTTTAATAAAATTCAAAGGGCAAGTCTCTACAACTCAACTTCAAAAAAATTTTCTACAACTATATTAACACTTACTGAGTAGTTTAAAAAATTCTTCCTTCCTAGTAGAGATATGGTAATATCATTAAAGATGGGAAAAAAAATCTACTGAGAGGAAAAAATTACTTGTAAATTCTTCTCCGTCCCTCATGGGAAAATATAAGACTAAGTACCTTGTAGATTTTACTAAGATGTTCCCTATGGACAAAACAAGTTCATGTTTGGTAAATGACCTTTAGAGCATACAGAACAAAATGAGGTGGTATATTCGGAATACTCTCAATACATATTCTTGTCTGTGCTGTAAGCTCTACTATAATGAGAGCACCTATGCCAGCTTTTGGAGAAAAAAAAATTTCCCCCAGGGCTAGTGGTATTGCTCAGTGACAATTGGCTTGCTTAGCATATTTAAGGCCTGAAGTACAAGCCCTAGCACTGCCTCCCCACCCCCCAAAAAGACTATTGAAGTAATCACAGATTAACACAACCTCTTCCAAACAATGAGTAAGTAACTTGTCATCAATAGTATTACAACTTCAAGCATATGCTTTTAAGTTTGCTCAGAGGGAAAAAAAGCTAATAAATTTAACTCAAAGGTTGGAAAAAAGAAACAGACTATAATTGATGCCAAAAGGGGAAGAAGGCAATGTCAAATGTTTGTTTAAGATCATGTGTTGTCAGCCAGGCATCAGTGGTCTATCTGACATCACCTTAGAAAATATCAAATCAACTTAATAATCCATATCAGCTAAGTGTTAAAGAATGATATGGGTTTATATGACTTTCTTAATAATTGTCTATCACAATAATTCCTTTGCAATTTTTACATGACTACCATACCCCACAATTAAAAACTGCTACTCATATCCTTAGAATTCAACACTATTCTAAGTTGTTTTTTTTTTTTTGGCCAGTCCTGGTTTTTGAACTTTGTGCTTGAGCACTGTCCTTGAGCTCCTTTTGCTAAAGGCTAGTGCTCTAGCACTTGAGCAACAGCACCACTTCCGGCTTTTTCTGTAACTGGAGACAAAACTCTCATGGAGTTTCCTGCCCAGGCTGGCTCTGAACTACAATCTCAGCCTCCTGAGGATTACAGGCGTGAGCCACCAGTGCTCTGCTTCTAAGAATTTTCTAGTAAATATTTACACACATGCATGATTATGTACTTAAAATGTTCCCTGCAGTGTATCATAACAAAAATGGAGATGGTTCAAATAAATCATCTCTGTCAGGGAATAGTTAATAAAGTACACTGTATCAATTCTGTAGCATATTAATTAAGGAGGGCTTAAAAACAAAGTGATAGAGCTGTATAATATACAGCAGTGATATCGAAGGACATAAACAGCAGAACTTCCTTCCAAAACATTTCAAGATTTCTTGACAGGTGTCAACAACCTCCACCATGATAGA